TGGGGTATAACAATTAAGCTACCTTTGCAGCAGCCCTAAAATTGTTTAAAAATGTCCCAAAACTATCTAAAGATTATCTAAATAAATTATTAATTATATCATAAAAGATCCTCTATCCATTTTATAATTTTCTAAATATTTAATTCAGACCTGATTTAATATAAAATAGAAATATTTTTGGTTCTGTGCATTCAGATGTGTTCAATCCAATGGATTATTGTCTGCTCCCTGTTCCCCCTTTTTTGGGTGGGTGGAGAACTTCTCCTGCTGATCTATTAGAGCTGTTCTCGAGCTGGACTTAACCCACATTGTGGCCATTAAAAAGCCATTCCCCATTTGCCATTTTGCCATTTGCCATTTGCCGAGGATGGCCATTTGACAACGCCCGGTGCGAAATGCGCGATGCAAAATGCAAATTGCAATGGCAATTGCCACGCTTCGCTCCGCCCCCTCCTCGAGAGGCTTGAGTCTTAAGACTTGAGTCTTGGGCAGACAGCACCCACTGCCACATCTTAGATAAGTGCATTGTGCATTGCATGCAATTTGGTTGCATGTATTTCGCAGGCACAACCACAGCAACAGCAGCAGCAGCAGCAGCAGCAGCAGCAGCAGCAGCAGCAGCAGCAGCAGCAGCAACATCACAGCGGCAACATGCAACACGGAAACAGAGGCTGATCGACACAAAAATTGTTAAGGGGTAAGGCATGGAAAATAAAACCTAATAATGATAATAATATCGAATATTCAAATTATAAATATTATAGTAAATATATTTTTGTGTGCTTCAAACCATTTTACAAATAGCGAATTTCTCCAAGCATTTTTTGTTGATTTAATTTGAAGGTTTATATAAGGTCTTACACTTTTATTCTGAAGCTAAAAACTAAGTGAAGGACTCATTTCCGACCCTATAAATCATATACAGTCGAATCCCGATAATTCGTACCCCGCTAAATCGAAAATCGCGATAATTCGTAAAAAATTCTGTCCCCTTGAAAAAAACTCGTTAATTCGTAAAAATTCCATACATTTTGGTCCCCTCGTTAATTCGTAGTATTTGGCGCAACGCAAAGAATATTGAACCTCTTAAAAATCGTAATTTTGTTTCGAAACCTCTTATAAATCGTAATGCGATGCGAAATATTTTGTAGTTAAAGCGACGTTAGATTTTGCAGACATCAGAACGGAGAAGAAATTTTATAGAATTTACAAACCATAGCATTAATTCCTCAACTTAAACATTATTTTTCGACTCATGATGTGCCAAATAGTGTGTTTGACAACCTAATAGGTTTAGAAAACGCGATGGAAAAAATAAAAGAAAAAACACGAAGCAATCAAAAATTACCAATTATTTTAAAGCATAAATTTTCGTTTTTAATAATTTAATGTTTCTGCTTAATTTTGTTTGTTAATTTTTTGTTTAATTTTCCTTTAATTTGAAAAACGTACAAATGAATGTACATATTTGTTATGTTTGTTTAATTTTAATAAAGCTAAATACATATGTAAACATGATGTGAAATGTAAAAACCCCGTTTATTCGACTCTTTCATTTTTGAGCCCCTTTAAATAGAAATCTCGATAAATCGAATTCCCGTCTAATTCGTAAAAAATGTGATCCCCTTGCCATTTCGAATTATCGGGACTCGACTGTAATATAAATGTCATGTTTAAGACTTACCGCAGTAGAGGACACGTCATTGTTTACTTCCTTCCAGTGTTGTGACCAAAAATGCTGATTCCATCCAAAGGGAGCTTCTTCCTAGTCATCCAGATGTATTGCATTGGCCACGTCATATTTTTAGGCCGAAGGCTGATCACTTGCACTATCACTTGAGATGTTAACACTAGGTACCCCTAGGACAGACTGAGGAGCGCGGGCCCTCAGCGCCTCTATTTATAGTCCGCGAGCAGAGCAGAGCAGAGCAGAGAAGAGCAGAGCAGAGCAGAGCAGAGAAGAGAATGTGAGTGCGTGGGAGAGAAGCTGTTGCCTCTAGAGATTAACATAGAGCGATTAACATAGCGAGAGTGGGGAGAGGCAGAGAGCAGCAGCGAGCTGATATTTAATTTAACTTTAATCAGCAAGTAACTTTAAGCAGTAAGTAACTCTGATCAGTAAGTATCAATGAACACTAAGTAACTCTGAGCAGTAAGTAACTCTAAACAGTAAGTATCTATGACCAGTAAGTATGTATGTTCACTTACTAACTTTGAACACTAATAAACAATGACTCGCAACTTTTGTAACACAACACATTTCTAAAACTTGGCCGGCAGCACTCACTTCGTTCCGGGGATGTTAGAACTTGTTGGGAATCATATGCACAGTTGTGCGAGATTTGTTTTAGAACAAATTTAATCTATTTCAATGATCTATGGAGTTATTCTTGTATATAATTTTACTGGTATATAAGTCGGAGCATGACGTATCGGTGGACTATATACAGTCGAATCCCGATAATTCGTACCCCGCTAAATCGAAAATCGCGATAATTCGTAAAAAATTCTGTCCCCTTGAAAAAAAACTCGTTAATTCGTAGTATTTGGCGCAACGCAAAAGAATATTGAACGTCTTATAAATCGTAATTTTGTTTCGAAACCTCTTATAAATCGTAATGCGATGCGAAATATTTTGTAGTTAAAGCGACGTTAGATTTTGCAGACATCAGAACGGAGAAGAAATTTTATAGAATTTACAAACCAGAGCATTAATTCCTCAACTTAAACATTATTTTTCGACTCATGATGTGCCAAATAGTGTGTTTGACAACCTAATAGGTTTAGAAAACGCGATGGAAAAAATAAAAGAAAAAAAACACGAAGCAATCAAAAATTACCAATTATTTTAAAGCATAAATTTTCGTTTTTAATAATTTAATGTTTCTGCTTAATTTTGTTTGTTAATTTTTTGTTTAATTTTCCTTTAATTTGAACAACGTACAAATGAATGTACATATTTGTTATGTTTGTTTAATTTTAATAAAGCTAAATACATATGTAAACATGATGTGAAATGTAAAAACCCCGTTTATTCGACTCTTTCATTTTTGAGCCCCTTTAAATAGAAATCTCGATAAATCGAATTCCCGTCTAATTCGTAAAAAAAGTGATCCCCTTGCCATTTCGAATTATCGGGACTCGACTGTACATATAATTATGATCAACATTAACTGGCGAATCTATCTATCTCCGGCAGAAAAAAATTTTCCAAAAATTTTGATTTTTTTTAAAACCCCTTACGATTATATTGTTTTCAAAAATGAAAAAAGTAATTTTTTTTAATTTTATTTATAAAGATTTATTAACCGATTTAAAATTAATGCTTTTTTGGCTAAGTTGTGACTAAATATTCATTTAAAAAATGCTTCGACTTTATTTAATTTTTCTTTTTGAGAACAACTGATGGCCACACTTTCATTTTGCAATTAAAATTCTAATAAATCAATAATAAAGTATTGAAAAAATATATTTAATTTAAAGAGTATTTTATAAAAGTTGATTTCAATTTATTTAACCCATTAATTTTACTATTTACCTCTTTATATTATTATTATTTTAAAAAGACATACATTCCCTTTGACTTGTCTATTTATATTTGCTTCCTATGAACATTTCGAAATTATTCCAAAAGATATATATACCCTACTAAGTGCAAAAATATTTAAGTTCAATGAAAAAACTGTAAGATAAATATATTTAAATATTTGATCTTGTCTGAGACCCCCCATTAAGTATACGCCACTGAACCAGACCCTGCAAACATTGCCTTGCTCTTGGTCTTGAACTTGTGAATTTGCTAGACAACAAGCCCAAAAACCAGCCGAGTCAGAGCCACCATCCGCAGCAGCCACTGCAGCAGCAACAACAACAGCAGCAGCAGCAACAGCAACAGCAGCAGCAGCAGCAGCAGCAACAACAGCAGCAGCAGCAGCAACAACTGCCAGCAGCAATCAGCGGCAAGTGAATGAGCTTAAATTGTCCATGGCCCGAGGGGAGTGGTTTTTCGCTCAGTTTTTCGTTGTCGGTAGTTGGCGGCGGCCACGATGATGGGCTTCGCTGGATGATTTTGTAAAATGCACTTTAAAGACTAAAACTAACTAATACCAAAATATATTATTACAAAACAAAAATAATCTAAAATGGAAGTTTTCTCTTAAAACTCAAAGAAAGCTGCAATATTTGGCTATGATTCTCCAACTTATGCTGGTTTATAATCAGTCTTTAAGCTTTTCAATATTATTTTTATATAAAAAATAGCTTTTTATCAAGTTCCCAATATGTTAAATAATTTTAAAATATTTTCTAAAGTGTAAATAACTGCAAAATATTAAACAAAGAATTTTTAGAGATCAATTCTTGTTTATTTAAAGGAAATTTTGAATTGTTATTATAATCCACTCCTTGGATATCTTTTTAAAAAAGATCTTTAATTAATTTATTTATATTTTTCTTAGTGCATATCCCCGCAGCTGATGTGGCCCTCTCTTCCCTTTTGCCACCCGTCTTGGTTGCATGTTGTTGCCTCAACGCCCTCAGTACGTTATTATGCGGCTGAGGTTGCTGCTGCTGCTGCTGCTGCTGCTGCTTGTCGCTAGTTCGGTTTTTTTTTTTGTTATTGTTATTGTTGCCGCTGTCTGGTCGTCTGTGGAGCATCAAGGCACTGGGGCAGCGAGGCATCAAGTTGCAAACACACACACACTATATCAGGCTGAGGAGCAACCGCAGTTACTTTTGGCCAAGACTGCATAGACAAGCCTCAATTAAGTTGCAATTGCTGCTGCTAAAGTTGCCCGTGTTGCTCATGTTGCTGCTGCTGCTGTTGATGGTGCTGCTGCTGCTGCTGCTGCTGCAAGTGATGTTGCTGCTGGGTAAGCGTTGGCGGCATCGGCTTAGGAATGGAATTCCAAACTCTGCCTTGGCTGCCCACGCGCGCTTGCGCTTTGCTCTGGTGCATGTTGCTGCTGCTGATGTTGCTGCTGCTGCATGTTGCTGTTGTTGCTGCTATTGCTGCTGCTATTGCTGCTGTTGTTGCTGTTGCTGCTGCTGATAAAGTCCAAAATGATGTACTGCCCATGTGCTGGTGGCTTATTTCGCTTTTCCTCTCTCTCTGTGTGTATGTTTGTGTATTTCCCCGCATTTCCAACATCATCCTCCCACTATTTCCACACTATTTCCTTTTTTTTCGTGCTTGGATCACAGGGGCGGAATTTGTTCAAAGGTTATTTGTGTTTCTTTTGGATTAGTTTGAATAACCAATTTTAGCTTTAATAATTTTTCTTGATAACTTTAATTTCTCTCAGCAAACCTTCTTTATTGATCAATCATCAGATCATTTTTTAGGATTTTGATATTATTTAAGTTAAAACAGAAATGCTAAGCACATTCTTGGATTTTCTTTATTCCTGATCAGGTGCGGAAGTGGAAACTGTATCCTGGGTATCCTGGGTATCCTTGGTACCCTGGAAATCCTGCTGCTCGAGATTAGATTGTGGCTGGTCATCAGTAGTAGTAGCGTTGGCATCGGAAGCATCTGGTATCTTGGGCAGGTGTTCCATCTTGGCTGCCTTCTTGGCAATCCATCCCAGACGCTTCTCAACCTCGACGACAAGCTCTTCGCTAAATCGCCGTATCTCTTGGACCTCGGCACTAAGTTCTTTTATGTGTCGGTTGATGAGATTTTTAAACAAATAACGCTGGCTATAGCGGAAGGAACTCAATATATTCGTTTCGGTCACCTCGTTGGCCAACTGTTTGGTTAGTTTTGTGGCACGAATTTGTCGCGAGCGTTTCCGGCAATTGGTAATCTCTTCTGAGGTATCCTCCATCCATTTTTGATATTCGTGGCTCAAGTCTCGTATCTCTGCGGTCTTTTTCTGAACATAATTCCATTGGTGGGTAAGGTTACGTTTTTGGGTCCTTAGATTGCCGTAGCGACACAAGAGCTCCGTGATTTGGCATTGCAATTGATGCTGTGCCCGCTGCAATTGCCGGACTTCGGCCAAATGTTGGGGATATCCCTGACATTTATCCATATCCTCTTGATCCCGCTGCATTGTGGACAGATCCTCTGACTGCGATTCAATGTTTCCCTCCAATTTCTGACGCAATCGTATGTCGCACTGCATAATCTCGATGCGATTGAGGAGACTGTCCAATCCCCTTAAAATCTGTATCTCTGGATCCTCTTCGGTGATGGAAACAGCCTCCTCGATCAGGTTGTGTATCGTCAATTCTTCCGACTCCTGACCACAATTGTCGCTTTCCTTTTCCACTTCCTGAGTATGCCATTCGTAATTAATTTGCGATGCCTTACGCTCTATACAATTGGTCATAGTGCGGACAATCACATCGACATCCGCCAGGGTCATCTTATGGAAATCAGGCAGATTGGCTATCAAATCTGTCTCCTGTTCCATTAGATAGTCCCTGGGACGTAGATTATCTAAGCCCGTATCCTGATCCATGGTAATTTCTTTGTTTTCGCTCTCGATTTGAGTTTTTGTTTATGGTTTCAGTTTGAATTTGTAGTTTTGAGATGGGAATGTATTGGGAAATGAGTGAGGGGGAGTATACTTTAATGACAGAAAAGGGAATATATATTGATTTTTCGATACTGAATGAATATTTGATGCAAGTAAGTTTGTATAAAGATATTATAGTTGATATATTGGAACAATATAAACCTTATTTTCAATAATATTCATATTTTAACTTCTCTTAAGACCTTCTGTTTACCCTTTTCAGCTAAGAGATCCGCTCCTGGCCTTTGATTTTTGATATATTGAAACAATATAAACATTATTTTCAATAATATTCATACCTTAACCTCTCTTAAGACTCTCTTTTTACCCTTTTCAGCTACGAGATCCGTTCTTGGCCTTAGGTTTTTGACATATTGGATAAATATAAACCTTGTTTTCAATAATATCCATATCTTAACCTCTCTTAAGACTCTCTCTTTACCCTTTTCAGCTACGAGATCCGTTCTTGGCCTTTGGTTTTTGACATATTGGATAAATATAAACCCTATTTTCGATAACAACGATATCTTAACCTCTCCTAAGACTCTCTCTCTCTTTACCCTTTTAGCTTAGAGATCCGCTCCTGGCTTTTGCTTTTTGTGCTGATAAGAAAATTTATGGTTAGCCAGTTGCTCTGGCGGCATAATTGCGCACCCACATCCACAATCCACATCCAAAATTCCCCCCAGAAACACACTTCACTCCACATGAAGTCTGTGCGAAGAATTGGAGGCTAAGAGGCTGGGCTGAACTGGACTGGGACGGGGACTTGGACTTGGACTTGGACTTCGACTTGGTCTTGGACTTGGATTTGGTCTTGGGGCTGGGCTTTGGCGTGTGGCTTCATCGCCAATTCTTCTAGTCAGGCCCTGCTTCCCCCATATTTGCTGCGAGCGTTGTGCCGCCAGTTGACTTTGTTTACCCGCAAGTTGTAATTTTCTTAGGAAAAACCGTCAGCCGCAGAATTGCTTTTCTCCAACTTGCAGTCGCTGTTTTCAGTCTCTGTCTCTGATAAGTCCCGCTTCTGTCTGTCTTCCTCTCTGTCAGTATGTGGTAGTAGTAGGCTCTCCCTCAAAGTCTTCTGGCCCCCTTTACCCCTGGCTTTCTTCATCATCATTCTTCATGGCAATTCTTTCTTCAAGAGCTTCTTTCTTCTGGGCAATTGCAATTGGTGCCCCGAACTGCGGTCTCTGCGGTGATCTTTTTTCTTCTGGGCTTTGGCTTTGGCTTTGGCTTTGCCTTTGCTAATTGCTTGCCAGAGATTCGGGCCTCAACTTAGGGCGGAGATACCCCAAACCCATCACTACCAAAAATAATATTACATTACATTTACTAATTTAATTTAAATCTATAAAAAGTTGGCAAGGGTTTGAAGACATACTAGTTAAGATTTAGTACTTCAAAATCTTAATTTTGTATAGTAATATATATAAATATATCTATAAATCATAGTTCACTGTGTACACCTTTCAACGTTAGCGATTGACAGGCTTTTAGCCAAGCTTCTTGGCCATTCCATTTGGAGCTTAGGCCATCATCTAACCATCCGTCGAATGCTGAATTGTCACATGTGGAATTTCGCAGGTCTCTGAGAAAAAGGCTTTAAGTATGTGAGCTGCAGATAGGATACCAATCCCAAGAATGGGGTCAGTTTCGGGTAAATATTAAGTAAAGAATGGCCTGAAGTATAAGCAAAAGAAAGAACTATATACCCTGAAGAATTTTAAAAGCTTTATAAGAATATCTGAATTTAAATAGTAAATATATAAATAATAAAAATAATAATAAAGAGTTTAAAGCCACAACTCCCCTAATGAATCTTGCATATTTTCTGCCAGGATTACACAAGTAAGTAACCAAAAATGTCTGCCAGAATAATAATTACCATATTACCACAATAATCTTCTTCTATATATTTTCAATGTTTTTTCTTCCTATTTTGCATTACGAAAAGAAAGAAAACAGCTAAAGAATTATGGTTGGGCGGTGGGAACCTCCGCGAACTGTACCGCTAAGATGCCTAATTACATCCAAGACGATGTGATGACCGATGATGGCCATAAAAGTTCACATGATCTGCTGATCTTACCTCGGGTCTGGGAGCTCTCTCTAAGAACTCTTCTCTGGTCATGCAGGAAGTTCAAGTCCGCGAGAATAAGAAGAATTACGCTGCAAGTCGAATCTTTGTTGGCAAAAATCAGTAGCTCTCCACACAGGCGAGTCTTCTTCGCCCGATAAGCGATCATAAAATAATAATAATAATAAGCAAAAAACAAAAAAAAGTAACCTTCGAATCAGAACTGAAAGAAAACGAGTAGCGAATAATGCAATATACATTAGATATAGAACAAGTCTATAGAAAATTACGATTTATGTAACAAGTCGAGGAATTCAAGTGCATTTATTTCCGCATCTGGAACTAAGTGGAGAAGCGAGCGCATAAAAAATAATACCAATGAAAACAAGACTAAATGATGGTAGTAAAGATACCCTGTAAAGTAAAATAACTCATAAAATAAACGAAAATTATTTATGTTAACTATAAATGGAGAAGTATGGGTAAATTTAGGAGGCCAAATAAAACAAAAAAATTCTTTTAAAAATTATTGCTTTACATATATAATTCTGTTATGACTGAAATACTGTAATTTATCTTAATATTATTATTAAAACCTTTATAAAATTATATATATTTCTTGATATGGTTTGTCTCTCTTCCAATATACCTTCCTTACTCCCAATAATATAAACTGCCGATCAGAAAAGCAAAGCAAAGAAAGCGATTCGCAGTGATGGAATATTGAATCTTGGACAGGGGGAACTTGTAGGGGTACTGTAGTGCCTCGTCCAGTCCTGGATTGGTGCAGTGCATCCATCAGAGCATCGCAGATCAGATCAACTGCCCGCCGTGAGTCAGTCAGTCACCCATTTGGACAGTCGTTTGGTCTGTCGGTTATTAAATGTGACCATAAGAAATAGAAGCAACACGCAGGCGCAGCTGTTCGAAGGGGGGTTATGACACAACAGTCGGTACACTGTGATTAAATATTAAACAAAATATAAATGTAAAATCTAAAAAAAAAAAATAACAAGAAAGAACACTAACTTGGGAAAGTTTATAGTCTATAAGATCGTATTAGAAATCGTTCATAAATAAGCTTTTAAAATTCCCATTTTTAGAATCAATATTTATCGATATTTCTATATGACTATTTTTTCGATAAATCAAATTTTAAAAAACTCATAACTCAGTAAAAAATTCATTAATTTTAAATCGGAAAGCGTTTCTATGTTAGTTTTTATTAGGTTAATAAATCTGCATACTCCATATAAATTGTGAAATTTGCTACGATTTTTGAAAATTTTAATGATGTTACCCCTTTTACTTTTCTCAAAAAATTACAAATATTTGAAAAAATTTTTTTAGCCCGGATATAGCTAAAAAGATTCGCCTGTTGATGCTGATCAAGAATATATAGTATTAATAGGGTCGGAAATGATTCCTTAACTTAAGTTTCAAGCTTTTGACTGAAATTAAAATACCTTATAAGGATATAGTTTTGCAGAAGGGTTAATTTTGTTAAATTTTCTCCCTTTCATATTAAATATTATTATATAATTTCCATTAATTTTTCAAAGTGCTTTTCGAGTCTGAAAGATGGACTTGAACAGAAATCATGGCGCTGCTAAAGCGTAAAGGCAAAAGAATTATAATTTTCCAATCAACTGATAAATTTTTAATGATGCGCCAGACCGAGGACTTGGGGATCTCTAATATGTTGTCCAAAGTGCATGCTGGAATCCCGAGACCCAAGTCCACAATATATCCCACTGTCCACAGTGTCCACAGTGTCCACAGTGTCCACAGTGTCCATTATCCCCGAGTAAAGGCAATGATGAGCATGTGGCCAGGTGATTATGAGCATGATCATTGCTGGCATTGGACATGTGTAAGAGGCATTCCCATAGGTGTGATTGCTGGCGCGCAAGAACAAGTAAGACACCAAATTACTGTTACCTAGACTCGCACACACACACACTAAACACACACACACACATAGACGGCGGCGGGTGGTCGATTGGGAGTGGAAAATCGATGGAAAAGCCGAGGGAACTACAGGGAGGGGAGAAAAAATAGGCGCCGCAAATTCACCTGGTGACGTCTGTCTGCCGTTGACTCTACAGCCATTGGCACTGGACCAAAAAGTGGCTTCGTGATCGATACGATCCCATGGATATTCCTCGTTCGCCCCCCTCAGGGAAGATTTCCCCTTCTCTTAGTATTAGTTAGGTTTTGTTTTTCCGGAAAGATTTCCCATGCTAATATATGCCCACATCTTCTGATGGAGGTTCTTAGCTTCAGACAAGCTCTTTAGTGACAATAAAATGTATGATTTTATAACTAAAGTGACATTAGTGTCTCTTAATTGTTGTTAAATGTTATGGATTAAATATTTAAACTAAGACTAAGCTACATAGTTTAAAATGATATTTAAATCATATATTCAAATTATTTAATATCATAAAAAAAACTCTGTAAAAATATTATACAAATAAAAGCATTTGTAACTCTCTAATATCTGAAGATTTAATTTTGAAGGACTAAGGTATAACTCAGGTATTTATTTATTTAATTATTAAATATTTAACATAAAGAATTAAAGAATGTTTAAGACTGTTTATTATTTTATGGTGCATCTAGAAGTTCCCATTTAAATATAAAGTTATTATTTATATTATATATATTATAAATATAAGTTATTAAACTTTCCTTGGACTTATAATTACATATACTTAAGCAAATATAATAAAACTTAATTAAAACTATCTATTATCTTGTGTTTTACCCCGAATTTTCCCCTAGATTTTCCACATTTTCTCACAGTCCTGGGAGAGTTTTACATTTTGGCAAACGATCGATTGTGTGCGACCGTTATTTAATAAGGAAAATTTTAGCTTGCCAAGGGGAGATGATGGGGCTTTGGGTTTCTCAGGTGGCGATGTCCAAGTCGAAAGGCGCCAAAAAGCTTCACTGAGCCACGTTCTTTTAGAGTTTTTTTTTTTTTTTGTATATTTTTCCTCAAGTTTTCCAGCGTAGTTTTTTTTGTATATTTTTTTTGAAGCCCGCAGCCCGTTGCACGCATACAAATTACAAAATGCAAATGCGAAATTGTAGAAGAAAGAACCCCCCTTAAGTCTCCCCATTTTATTTTTTTTTGGCTGCCTTAAGGAAAAGGCGGATCGAATGGACAGCAAATTGTTCGCACGCTTCGCTCCCAGGTAGAAAAAAATATATATAAAGAAAACTAAAGAAAATCAGCAGAAGAAAAACGTAAATGCGTCTGGGTTTAGCGATTTTCGCACATTTTCTTTTATTTTTCAATTACGACGTGGTCGAAGTGAGACAAAGCCAACGAGTGAGTATCCAAGTATCGGAGTATCGGGTATCCATTGGGGGAGAAAAACTCCTCAAGCCAAGAACCGAAAGCCAATAAAAAGTTGATCGTCTCCTTGTTGCTGCCTTTTTTCTCTTCTTCAAAGATCATCGCAGTTTGTCAATTAATTGATTGCATTCTCTGCAATTGCCTTGGCCAACAATAATAACTGTCGTATTTGCGCTTAAATATGTGCATCTTTTATCCCCTTACCCTCTGGATCGGGCATCGGGGAAAATCGAAGGAGGAAAATTGTAGGAAAAATTGTAGGAAAAAAAAAATCATTGGAAAAAGAAATCGTTCTGGTAACCATGTAAAAGTTGTTTCACTTCGTCATACACTCATTGCCCAAAGGTGGCAAGATCAGGGAAAACTTATTAACCATATAAAGTGATTGATATTAATTAATCTATATAATTTAATTTTCTATGATTGTGTCTAGACAGGAGAGAATTTTATTTAGTATGTGGACTATTAATTTAAATAAAATAATAGTTTAAAATCATAGCGAAAGGGTGGATGTATCTTGATAGGATCTTTATGGAATTTGGTTCAGATTTAACTGAATAAATTATATACAATTTAGCTTGAAACCTTTCTACAAATAATATTAATAATAAATAATAATAATAATAAATAATAATAATAATAAAAATAATTTTAAAGGAAGATAATACTTAAATATATTTATCATACCATAAAAGAAGAAAATAAAAGGAAGATAATACTTAAATATATTTATCATACCAAAAAAGGATAGAATTTTAGCACATTATTAATAAAATATTTGATATAAAATAATATCTGCAAAAGTGTAAAGGAGTTTTTATCGAACTTTATTAAGATTTAACTTAATAAATTATATTA